TCCTCATACCTCTGCATCAGCTATCACAAAATGTTACTTTTACTCTACAAAGGCTCACATGGCCCAGCTCCACATATCAGACCTCTGTCATCCTGTACATCTTGTCTGGTAGCTCTGAGGGTTACATCTGAAGTTGGTTGAGAAGTTTATTTTTTATGGTCCTATAGCTGCTGGAACACTTTACCACATTGTACTGGATGTGCTCCAAAGTTAACACTTCCCACAGACAGCGTTCCTCTACTCCTGCCTATTTAACTTTGTTTTGATGTGTTTTTGTTCTTTACTGCATAGTTCTATTTGTGTGTTAGGGCAGCATACATGTGTATTAAGGTTTGTTTTCTGTGTATACTGTATTTCCCTTTGAATGGATTATGCTTCTGTATGTGAATTAAAGCAGGCCATGCTTGCTTGCTTTGCATAATTCAAATGGATTTTGCCACACTGTCATAAGGAAATAAGAGCATGCTTTTATCTTCTCTAATGAAGCAACTGTATGGCTTTATACCTACAAGTGACTTAGAAATGACAGAAGTGCCATCCATGAAAATATTGAGAACTGAATAAAGCTTTTTCTAAGAAATTAAGTGGAAGCTGCACTGTAAAAAGTAATTTAATCATAATAAATTGACCCTAATTGGCCACATACCAGTATACCAATAATCGGCTCTCTGCCCTCCTTTTCTTGGGTTTGTTATTTCACTCTTTAGGTCTTTTTTCAATGTGCAAAATATTGAGTGGGAAGATGAAGAAAATGTTTTTGTCTTTTTTGGAATGATGCCATTGTAACCCTACTGCTGTTTCATGGGTGTGGAGGGTTTGTTGTTATTTTTTTAAGTATATTTTTTGGGGCTTTGCCTTTATTGGATAGGACAGCTGAAGATAGACAGGAAAGGGGGAAAGAAAGGGAATGAGAGGTATGGGGCCGCAGGTCAGATCTGAACCCATAGTGACCGCAGCAAGGACATTAGTACATGGTTGACAGCTCTACCGGGTGAGCTACCTGTGTAGAGGGTTTGAGGGTCTTTTCATAGAACTGTCAAAATAAAAAAAAGAGAGGAATTTATAGAAAATTAAACACCTGTGTTGTAATGTATAGTTGTGAACAAGAATGTGTATGAATAGTTTGCGTGGATGTGTGATTATGCACCTGCAAACATAATTTTTTTCTCATGCGTGTCCTGTGTGTTGTAGAGTAAGTAAAGTAAGAGGGTGAACTTTGTGTAAAGTTATGAGAATTTTGTGTGTGTGTGTGAAATGTGATCAACCCTATGAAAACATCCCTATGAATATTATATTCCATTTAGAGCTTTGATGACCTTTAACAGCACCATTATGGTAGTAATAATCCCATTTATTGTGGTCTGAAATAGCCCATATCATAGCTTCCTCCTGTGTTTGACATACTCAGCCTTCACCACAGCAGAACCCTTAGCTGCAAAAAGCTCATCCATTAGCTCACATAGCCAGGCTGATGACACATGTGTGGAGGGTAAACAACACTGTTTGCTTTCCTCACTCAAAACATCCATTTGAACTGCTAAACTGGACATTTTTCATCTGCTTTCACGAAGACGGAGCTGCTCTGAATTCTGAGCAAATGTCTGTTTTCAATCAAATCTTTTTTCACTTTTGCTCAAACTTTTTCTCTCCACTTCAGCAATGTAACCATGCTTGTGCGTTCATATGTGTGTGTGTGTGTGTGTGTGTGTGTGTGTGTGCTTGTTCAACAGAGTGATTCAACTGTGGAGGACGATGACACTTCCAAAATGTCTGTCGCTTATGGCGTATTACACATCATGCTGCATGCTGTCATGGCACAGTAATTGCCGGAACCTTTGCAGGTCGGATCTACCCCTGCTGCACCCCAAAGTGTTCCATTCCAGTCATCACAACAACAGCTGGTATTGATAAGGCAACTATTTCAGTATTGAGTTATTCAACCACAATCCTCAGGGGACACAGCCATCGACCCCTGCGACACAGCAGACTGTCATGCTGCAAAAGTACAAACAAGTGGGCATGTGGGTGAGTCGTGTCATTTCAAATATATGAATATATTCATGTGGATTCATTGTGTTCCAGCAGCACAGAAACATAAAACACACATTAAAAAGAACATAACACATTACAATTTATCATAATTTGATAATTTGATGACAATGATGATGTCTTCCACTCTCTTTTTTGGTTGGACAACAAGCTGATCTTCCTGTATTATTAGTTCTAATAATATCTATCCAAATCCTCTTTAACTAGTTGCCAAAGTAGATTTCCTTTCATAGAACTATGGCACAGGAGTCACTTTCACTGGGTGAAATGCACTAATTCAATGTATTTTCACACAGAGCATACTGTGGAAACACAAACCAAAGCCTAGTTATATTATAATTTGTGTCATTTATATTACAATTTCAATTTATTCCAAATTTGACCCAGTGAGATCAGAATATAAGAGCATTTAAATATTCCCTCCACTCCCCTATTATACTAAATCATATTTAACAATGATAGGATGGAGCTGTGACGTGTACAGGAAGTAATGCATGGAAGTGCATTTGTTCAAACCTCAAAGCTAGAGGGATCTCTGATTTTATTGTGGCATGTGCGAAACTTCAAGCACGCCCTCTAGTGGCGTAAATAACACACAACAATGTTTGTAGCACACATGGGGTTATGTACTGACTGAGCGTCTGTGGCATCCAGCATCAGAAACTGTATGAGAGCTGCCTGATCAGATTCTGTTAAATGTTGTTTGATCAGACAGGTCCTGATTAGAATTGAAATTTTGCTCATTTTAGATAATTAGACAATAAACAAACAACATTCTTGTAAATTTAACATTAACATTAACATCATTATTGTTACATGGCACAGGGTTCTGTAGAAAATAGGTTTATAACTGTATGTTTTGGTACTGGTATCAATTCAAAACTCTACTGTATTTGCACCACTATTGATAAATATATGATACCCAGCCATAAACGTACAAGACTAAAGTGCTGTACAATTGTCAAGACAAGAGGAGACAAAAACTGACTGTTTGTTGTAAGATACAAAAAAGAATGAATCCGGGTAACACATTAGTGTAATTCCACAGAGCACACATTTGGATGATTCCTTATTCTTTCTGTAAAAAAATATAAAAAATTGTAACATCATCAGCCTTAGCTGACTGCTTCAGATTCAGCTGTCTTTCAGAACATATGATCTTCAAGCAGGAACAAAGTAACATGTACACAGGAGGGTAAACGGACCTTTTAGTGATATTGTTGTTGTTGTTGTTGTTGGTGTTACAAATGCTCACTTCCTTCAGATGCACTCGTTTAGACTGCATGAATAATTCAAAATATACTGTACAATGAACTCAAGTCTTGTGATTGCATGTCCACCCATCTACCCTGACACTACCTAACAGCCCAGCATCACTGCAGCAGAATGATCATCAGGCTGCATCCTCTTTTCCATTTCCATTCACTTTTTGACAGCGGTGGAAGAAATAGTCATATATTTTACTTAACTAAAAGTATAAAGACAGGTTAACATCAAAATATACTTAAACTACCAAAGGTAAAAGTACTCACTGTGCAGAACCATGACCTGCTGTATAAGAAAATACTATACAATTTAATATAACCTTGATTACACTTATAATCTGAATCTGTAAAATAACTAGAAATTAAAGCTGTAAAATAAATGTAATAAAAAGTATAATATTTGCCTCTCAAAGGGATTAAAGTGTATAATAGTAAATTAACTTAGTTACTTTCCACCACTGCTTGTTTACCTAGACTGCAGACACCAAGTCACCAGTGCTGCAGCAAGTACAAGATCCCTCACTGGCTTCCCACTGGTGAACAGTTGGGGTCAGGAAGTGAACAGAGGTTTCTGGAGAAGCTGCTGAGTTACCTTTCTACTGAACAAACTGTGCACCCCTACCAGTGCGCTTAACTTTAATAACTGTACCTTTAGTTACACTAATACCTTCATTGTGGATAGAACAGTTAGCAGTGATGGAGATTTACTCAAGTTCTGTACTGTACACTTTATCTAACTTTATATTTCTCCACAACATCTCAGAGAGAAATATTGTTAGATTCCTGCACTTACTTTGCAGATGAAGAAAGTAAACACAAAAGACAATATTTACAGCCAGTGTTTAGTTTATCCGTTCTGGGCTACTGTAGAAACATGGCAGACTCAGCAGAACAGGACCCGCTTCGCCTGTGGAGAAAAACAGCTCATTGAAAGGCAATGAACACACGATTCCTATATTCAGGTGATTATACATTACTGAAAACATACCTGTGAATATTATATTAAATTGCCAACAGATCCTCCTAAATGTTACACACTTGACCTTGAAGTAATATTTTGAATGGAGGACTTTTACTGGTATTTTTTTTTTAAATTGTGGTATTTCTACTTTTACAAAAAATATATGAATACTTCATCTACCACTGTTTGTTATGTGGATTAACTGTACACATTTCTAAAGGATAATAGATTGATGGATCCTTTAATGGATAAAGTAATGTATCGTTTCCAAGCTGTCTGAAAGTTTAGCTGTATGATATTCTTTACCAGCCCTTACAATTAACGGGTCTTAATGAGTGATGTTATTCCGTCTTTAATTACATGCACAAATCCAATCTAGAGGGCGCACTCGACCCAAAGCTCGTCGAGTGGGAACAAAACGGTAGTCCCGCAGCTTCCGAGCAGCACGTGAAGGCACCGTGAGGTGATAACAGACCGGGAGAGAGGAAGAAGAAGTGCTGGGGAGAGAGGAAGAAGAAGTGCTGTTTTTGCAACATCGCTGCTGCCACGTCTGTAGGCTCCTCTGCAGCAGCAGCAGCAGCAGCGGCAGCAGCGGCGGGTCTCAGCGCCGGGATGGGCCGGTGCTGGGCGGTGGGGGGATGATGAGAGGGAGAGGTGGGAGTGACTGAGGGGAGGAAGCAAAGAGGAAGACACGTAGAGCCGCCACAACACAACACTCCCCTGACTGAAGGAAGCCTGCGCGCAGCCCCGGCTTGAAGGAGCGACCGCTGCCTTCTGGAGGAGCTCTATTGTTCACGCAGAGGAGGAGGAGGAGGAGGAGGAGGGGGGGCATCTTGTTTCTGCTTTTTCTCCCCCGGTGTGGGGGTCACCCATGCTAAGCTCAGGGAGAATGGAGGAATTCGTGACCGAAGAGGAAGAGCCATGGTACGACCAGCAGGACCTGGAGCAGGGTAAGACACCGTCCTCCTCCCTGCCCGGCTCCCCGCAGCATCCCCACTGTCAGCTGCTGGCGCCGGCCGGTCAGCTGGCCTCCGCTCCTAACAAAGGCTCTCTGTCACATAAAGACACGGCAGAGATGTCATTCTATGTCTTTCCTGGGTGCAGAAACACTGAAGTGGCCTTTTAAGGAGCAGGCAAAAAAATACATACAACCACCTTTACCAACAATGCATTGAAAGCATGCCAAGCAGGGCCTTGTGCTGCTTGAAATAGTCAGCATCAGACGGTAGACCCTCAGTGTTATCAGGCTGTAGTTTATGGAAAGTATATTTTGTGGAGCTATTAGGCTTTCCTGTATTAGGCTTGACAGGAAATGAATTCTCTTTTGTGAAGCAAAATGCAGAATTCTTCTCAGATGTGAGGATTTGCTGTTTTTATCCGTTTTATATCACTGCACACTGAATAACTTTAGATTTTCAGACCAAACAAACAGCTAAATTAATTGTAGTTTCTGAAGGTTTATTATATAATATTTTAAGAATATTGTTGTCTAAGAAAGCAGCTTTCTGAGTACCTTTACATAGTTGTATCGGTGCAAAGTCCATTTACTAGCTCAAAAATTCGCTATATCAGCCAACATGTTGGTAATTGTGAATTTTTCCACTCTAAAATTGGTATTAGTCTCAAAAAATATTGGTTTGGGCTCTAGTCTAAGTATTGAGGCTGTAGAGATAAAGCCTTAGTATGTCATTTTCCTGTAATAGGATTGTTCTGGTTACAACTGCACCTAACTATTTCCATTATTGATTAGTCTTTAAAATCCTTTCTCCATTAATGAATTAGCCTTCAAGTTTATAAGAAATAAGAAAACAGTGAAGAATGCCCATCACAACTTCCTAGATGCCAATGTGATGTTATCAAACTTCTTGTTTTGTCTGACCAAGACTCAGATCTTAAGACACGGAAACGGCAGCAAGTTCGCACGTGAGAAGCTGGAACCACAAAAAGCAAACAAAAAACAACAATTATGATAATTATTGATAAATCCATCGCACATATCAAGTGCAGGTAGTGATGACTGAATGAACTTTGCTAAGGAAGGGAAAATCTTGCAAAAACAAGCCAGCAGGAGGGTTCACTATTCACTCTTTGTCTAATTAACCTAATTCACAGTCAGCTATAATTAACCTCCATCGTTCCATTAAGGCCACCTGCTCTATATACTCTGTGTGAATCTGTGTGATCTACATACATCTTAGTCAATCGTGGTCCAAATATTTGAACAGATTGAAATCATTTGTGAGACTTAAAGGAAGAACTAATCAATCGAGCGTGCAACAACCCTCTCAAAGGTTTCAATATCCCATTTATGTTACGCCAGATGGGCTCGGTATCAGCCAATTTCCATACAGATGAGGACTGGCTTTTTATGTTCCTGTTCTGGGGAACTAATAACAGGCAGTCACATTCAGGAAACTACATTTTGGATGAGGTTTGTATATTATCCTGTACTGAACATCTGCAAAGACATTTATAGGCCAATTTACCACCAAGTTTTATATAACCTGGATTAAAGTCAGCAAACATATTTTTTTAATATCTGTGATCGCTCTCTTGCTGATATGCACGGCTCCTGAATGCATTTTTCCAAATTTCCATCACAGACAAAGACTCCTCACTGTTCTCTGCACCACTTACTCCATTTCCTGTCTCTCTATCTCTCAATCACTTCTCCTCGTGGCAAGTAATTATACCGGTACATTTCCGGAGATTAATTGGTGCTGATGCAGGGATTTTACTTGACTAGAAACATGCATGCACACGCAGGAAGACGTGTACCTGCAGTCAAGACGTAATGGATTTGTTAGGCAACTTCTTTCCTGTCACACATGAGTGGACCTGTGGGTAAAAATAAATCCTCAGCACTCTTTATTTTTGGGAATACTGAGGAGTAGGAGAGAGACAGCAGTAGAGAGGACAAACATTCATAAATGTCAAAATGGCTGGTGTAAAAATGAGCAGTGTCTTCTTCCTGTGTGCCGGGGGCTATGTGTTTGATGGAGCAGAGAGGATGTCGGACCTCTCAGAGCAGCACCGTGCTTCAAAGTGCTGACTGCCTGAGCTCATCTCTTGTTGTGCGACATTTAAGGATGCAACGAATCCTTCAGAGAGAGAGAGAGACACACCGCTGTCATTGTGCTACAGTACCTTGTTGTCATGCAGGAATCACCGGCCGGCTGATCACTCTCAGTGCTGTGGGAGAAAAAAAGGCTCTTTTGCGAGGTTTCACCCTAAAAAGACGTGAGGAAACACGGAGGAATGAAAACAGCACTAACATATTTTTCTCAAAAACCTTCTCATATAAGAAATCAACTAAACTAAATGACTAATCAATTAATCAAGACAATAAAGTAATTGTTAGTTGTGGCCATAAAATATTGCAACTCTCCTCCTGTTTGCTTTGGAGGCACTGATTTTAAAATACCTGATAATGTCATTAAAATTCTGTGGTAACCATTTAGTTATTAAGATTTTCCAGAAACATAATATATAATATATTAACTTAGCAGTCAAAAGTTAATTTCGAGAGGAATTCAGTTAAAAGAACTGCTCCGTTTAAATAAACTTTTAGAAAACATAACTGAACTGAACTGGTTTTTCACAATTCAGTTGTTGAGATCAAAATCCATGTGTGCTAACTGCTGGTCAGCTTAGCTTAGCATAATGACCTGGAGCGTGGGGTAACAGCTAGCTTGGGTCGGTCTAAATAAAAAAATAGACATGTTACATCTGTTTGTGTAATATGTACGGGGGGGGGGCGTTACCCTTTAAAGAAAGCCTGACTAGCTATTTCCCCTTGTTTCTAGTCTTTGACGGTGCCTGAAATGGGCCTATACAATAAAATGGTGGTGCTTGACTAAACTAAGATAAGATAAGCTAAGTGGCTGCTGGTGATAGCTTTGGATGCACTGTAAACACATGAGTGGTATCAATCTTCTTTAACTATTGGCAAGAGAGCCCATAAGCTTATTTCCCAAAGTGTTGAACTCTTCCTTCTGGTCCTCTGAGAATGAGCTCTTCATTTGTGTGGACATTTAGCAGATGTCGAACTTGGAAAGCAAGGTCCTCCTGTGGAATGTAAGAGATGTTATGATGTAGTTTCAGCTCACATTTCAACTCTTAAAGCAGAAAAACAGGAGGGGTGTACTGCAGACATGGAATTGGGATGCGCCTTGGCTTGGGCCTATTGTGTGTTAGCCAGGGCCTCTACTGGCCTGAGTCCAGGTAGAAAATACGTGGCTCTAGCAGAGACTGGAGGTTTGCTGGCTTGACTTACATCTGATGAGAGGCTTCCTCGACTGTTTAAATGCTCGTGTTACAGCTTAATAAGTGTTTATGCCACCCAAACAGCCAGTATTACAGATCAAAGGTCACAGTGTGGACCAGAAAAATCCTGCAAAATGCTGCTGCTTTGGTATATCATGCATTAGAGCAGTTAATGGACAGAAAAGCCTTCTGCTATAACACTAAATAATTCATTTCTGGCCTCTGAACATTTCTATCTAACACTTTCTGTTAAGAAGTCAGGTCTGCAACACAGGAAAAGAGGAAGAGAAGTGTTGTTTCCCACATTCCATTAAATCTCATGGGTGATACGCACCTACAAAAACATTACTGCCTGTGGAAGAGATCACCACATACAGTATATTATTGAACATGCCTGTGTGCACAAGTTTCTTAAAACCACAAACATTCAGTTGCTGGTTGCATTAAAAAAAACAGGATTTAATAATTGCCGTGGTGTTTACTGTGTGAAAAAGTGCAACAGAGCTCTTTGAACACACTCCCAGCTGGTTGCAGCTGGTTATCTGGAGCATGCAGGAAATGTATCCGTCATACATGATGTGATTACGTCGGAGTTCCGGCCTCAGTGGTTTCATCCTGTGTGGGTCGAGCCTCGGGTCCGTCTGAAGCAAACAGACAGTTATCTGTGGGCAGTATTGACCTGCTAAGTTGTTTGCTAGCGCAGTGAGTTGCATCGATCGGCTCTCTTTCCTCCCCCTCCCGTATCCTCGTGTTGCTGAAGCTTTTGGCCGTAGAGAGCTGACTCTCCCTTACTGGCAGCCAAAGAGAAAACAACATCTGAATGTGGACACTAACACAGTGTTTTGGTTGTCTGGTTTTCTTGCTGGAATTTGGTTTTTAGATGTGTCCGATTGGCCCAAGGCTGGATCGGATTTAAAGAGCTTGTCAGATGCATCCAGCCATAGTTGCTTCTGCTTATATACTTCCTTTTAGTTTATTTATGAGAGGAATGCTGGCTAGACTGACATGATACTGACCATGGCGTTACTGCGCGGTCTACTGAGTTATTTTCATAAACGTTTTTTTTTTATTGTGAAGAAATTATAGTTTTTGTTGGTGTTACTCTTTTCTTTAGCCGTTTAGCCGTTGTTGCTAGCACTGGTAATGCTAACTACACAATTCTTCCTCAGCTAACTTCAAACAAATCCCAAAACATCAAGTATTCAAAAATGAATTCATATTTTGAACACTTGGGGGTATCATTTGATATAGCAAAGGTATTAGCAAACAGTTGGAGCATCATTAGTATTCATTCTGAATCATGTTTCTGGCCACACCACAAATGTAAGATGAATATTCACTGTCTTTATTCTGTAGTTTTTTTTCTGCCACCACCAAATCCTGACAGCTGCTCTTCAGCTGCTAAATGCTACGTTCGCCTGCTAGCTGCTAACTTCGTTAGTGGCACAAAACAAGTTAAAAAATAGTGTCTTGTCATCATCGTTAATTATTTCCTTTGAGGCCTTCGTGGTTATGGCATAAAATGCCACAGAGTAGACGATTTTAATTCCATGTTTTGAGTTGTAGACTACTCCCACAGAGCCTTTGTAGTTCACTCGTGCTAGCTCGAGGAACACACACTGTTGTTTGGACTCCTCCCTCACTCCAGCATGGAGGAGGAATCCATTGAGTGCTACCTGTGCTGCTGACGGGGCCCCACAGGAATTCATTAAGCTATCAGCACAGAGGGAAGTGTGTGAATTAGTCCATATGGAGCTGTTGGCAACTGCATAGTTAGCCTGCATCTGGTCATTAGTCTAATTAAAGCAGGCGAGCACACGACTGCCCGTTAGAAGAGAAGCATGGTTTCAAACCATGCAGAGCCAGACTGATAGTGGATTTTTAAGATTAATACAAATCTTGAAATTTGAGGGATGAAAATATTTTATTACAATGTATTTATTAATACTTATCAGCAGAGATATATGCTGTTGACAATACAGTATATCTGTAAAATCTCAAAATGTGATTTATTGGCCGGGCTCAGTGTACAATTTCATTTCTTACAGGATGTTTAAACCTGCAGTTACTATTTCTTTTACCACTTGGGGTAAGCAGAGATAAGCTGTAAACTCAGCTTGTTAGCACTACTTGTCTATTTTTGCACATCTAGGAGATGTGAGCAGCATTAGCATTCATTTGGAGTGTCTCAGGCCACATGGTGGATATAAGTCCAAGTTTTAATTGGAAATATCTGCCTCTTTAGCTGCTAAATGCTCCACTATGTTACCAGCTACTTGCTACTTTCTTAGAGCATTTTTGCTGAAAACAGCTGCCTACGGTAACTGGAAACAAGCTATGAGTGCGAACCAAAGTCGCGGGTTGTAAAACCAAAACAAAGAGCTGAAAAGTGCTAAAGCGCTCCATAGAGCTGAGGGGAACTAAAGAGCTGAAGGAAGTGACCCTTTTCACATTACACTTAATAATTACTTACTAAAAATATTATTGAAAGATTACTTAAGAGATACCTGAAAAGCAGACTTGGGTATGGTTGCAGCAAAGTTAGCCACAATGCTAATGTTGACAAGACACACTCCTTCTCAGTACACTGGGCTAGTGTGTAAATCATATTTATTAATAAGAGGAGAATTATAGGTAACTAGACAAGGGCAATGAATGATTATTTTCATTACAGATAATTATATTTAATAGTTTAATCAATAAATTGTCAGAAAATAGTGACAAATGTCCATCACAGGTTCCAAGAGTCCATGGTCTACAAACTGCTTGTTTTGTCTAACCAACAGTCAATTTAAAATTATATAAAACAGAGAAAAGCACCAAATCCCAACATTTGGAAAGCTAGAAGCAGGGAATATTTGATATGTGACAATCTACTGATTATCTATTATTTGCTAGGTAGATGTAGGGTTAAACCAAAATCTAAAAATTTCAATTTTCCGACTGTGTACTTGTGTTACTATAACTGAACATCCTTAGTAAATCTTGTGAGCTACTGGTTGAGTGCACAATTTCTCCATTTAGCCCACTCCAACATGGCACAGCTGCACTGAATGTTGCAGTGATGCAGGTCAGCAGTTGGCACCCGTCCTAGTGATCACTATTCATTATTAAAGACAGAGCCAGGACTACATGGGACATGACTTCATTGGTTGTTCAGTTCAGTCCTCTGCTTTCCTTCTGAGAGGTCACAGACCACATCTTGCTGACTCAGACCACAACAATATAGGCCATCAGTAACGCTGAGTCAGAGCACAGTTAGAATAAAGAACGGTGACAATGACTCATCTCACATTGAAGGTGCAATAACAGTCTGCAAGCACAAATAAAAACAGTATGCAGTAGCAATTACTGGTGTTAAACATGATTTGCTTTTTTGACCAAATTCAACAACAACTATTATTTAACACATTAAATGTAAATTTAGTCCAATTCTCTTGAATTCCTTCCTATTTCTGTCCTAATCTCAGTGGAGAGGTGTCTCTCCAAATAATCTTGGCACCAATCTCTGACCTTCATATTCAGTCAGCAGAGAGAGGAGGACCAGCAGGGAGACATGCTGCAGGGAGGAGTACTGTCTCTCTGTCCTCCGGCTCTCCTCACTCTATAATTGAACTGGTCCTGGGCAGACTGAGACGATGTGATAGACCCTTTGATCATTCTGTTCCAGACCCTGTTATAACCTCTCCCAAAATAGAACAAAGTGCTCCATTAATCGTGACAGTGGGTAATCTAAATTGTACGGCCGCATTACGTCTTCTTCTGTAAGATTAAGTTCCCCCTCATTTTCCCCTCAACCCTTCTTGAACCACCATTTCCTTCTGACATATTCTTATTACTGCCCACCCTCTTTTGCTCTTCATTTGCTCTTTCTTCATCTATATCTCCTCCTGCCCTCGTGCACTTTTTGTTCAGCTCTTTCTCAATTTCTTTCCAATTTCTAGACCTCCACTTGGCGGCAGAGCTGGGAAAGACTCTGCTGGAGAGGAACAAGGAGCTGGAGGACTCCCTGCAGCAGATGTACATCACTAATGAAGAGCAAGTGCAAGAGATCGAGGTACGAATCAAGGAACCAAGGAAATTAATTTAGCTTTAAATGTTGTACTATGAAATGAAAGTTTGTAGACCTTACACACAACAACTAAATCCATAGTAGATCAACATACAAAATAAAATCAATAAAATAAAACAATATGTACAGATATAATTTATATACATACACGTATACACACTGTCAAAGCTGTCAAGAGCTTGTCCTGACTCAGGCAGGTTGGGAAGCGCAGAGAAAGGCTTTATTATTATCCTTAATATATTGATTTAGAGAATGTGTATCTAATCTAAGATCTTATTTCTCCCATGCTGATTGAAACCATTGATTGAATTCAAAAATTCAATGATAAGACAATGAGTGAGTTACAGTGCTTTCTACTTCTTGTGACAAATTTGTCATATTTTTAGAATTTTAAAGGTCTCAATTGTAACATTAAGGAGGATCTATTGGCAGAAATGGAATATAATGTTTTCATTAGTGTATAATCACCTGAAAATAGGAAGCATTGTGTTTTCATTCCCTTAGAATGAGGCACAGTGGTCCTTTAATGTAATTTTTTATGGAGGAACAAGACAACAATGCAAACTGTTGCTTAATCAAATGGTTAATTTACTAAGTTGTATTTGATTATAATAAAATAAATTCCTACATTGGAAAAGTTGATGTTTAAAAAGTTACTTTGACCTTTAATATATAATAAAATAAAAATATGAATAGCATTTGATAACCTCACCTCAAACCTCAATGTCCATTTAGTGGCTGTTCTGGGGATTTTGATCAAATCACATAATCTTCAGATAAAAGAAAATTTATATTGTGCGTACATTCACTGTGTAGAAGTGTACAAGCAGGCATGTCTATGTGTTTGTCCCACAGTACCTGTCCAAGCAGCTGGAGGTCCTTCGGGACATGAACGAGCAGCATGCCAAAGTGTACGAGCAGCTGGACGGGACCGCCAGAGAGCTGGAACGCACCAACCACACATTGGTGATGGACAGCAAGGCCTCGCAGCAAAAGATAGAGAGGTGAGGTGGGCCTAGAAGTTTAATTTTCTCTACTCCTTCATCCCCCTTCTTCACCCCCTAACCGTTTGCCCTTCCTGCTGGACCAGGCTAACGGGGACCATTGAGGCTTTGCAGAACCAGGTGGAGTCTCTCTCAGGGCAGGTGGAGCAGCTTCGCTCCATGGAGCAGCTCCGAGTCAGGAGGGAGAAGAGGGAGCGACGCAAGACCATCCACTCCTTCCCTTGCCTGAGGGAGCTTTGCACAGCACCCAGGTACTTGTTAGTTTTGGTGGCAAATCATTACAACAATGAAAATATACTTACATATACTTTGTCTAAAGAAACTAATTCATCTACTCACCTCATCAGCAGTCTATCAGGGGTACTATATATGTGTGTGTCATGTTGGCAGGTATGAGGATGAGTTTGTGGTGGGAAGAGCTGAGAGCTTTTCCGGGGAGGTGAAGCCTCAACCGTTTGAAGAGGAGAACCAGCATCTGAGGGAGGCGGTGTCGGCTCTACGGGCGGCTGTCCGGACCGAGAGGGGGCGCCGAGAGGGTGTGGAGAGGGAGTGCAACCTCCTGCTTGCAGAGTTCTCCCGGCTGCAGACACGAGTCCAGGTAACAGGACACATTATCACAGTATGAACAGCTTCCTAAATCCCACCCCTTCTGGAACCTCGATCAACCTTTACTTGTGCTAGGCTCGTCTATTTTGAAAAGAATTAGACGACGAAAAAGGAAAAGAAGATTTTGAAGATGGTTAAAAGATCAAATTCATGCATAAGTACTCACATCTTAAGTTATCTAATGTTAATGTTTTACTAACATTAGCTATCAGATCAGACTAGCAAGCTAACGATTAACATAGATTAGGTATCAAGCTAGCTAACCAGCTAAGACTGATGTAGATTAGCAGTTGGTTGGCTAGTGTTTTGCTAACACGAGCTAACTTAAGATGCAACTTAAAATATGTCACTTTATCTTGAACCATCTTCAAAATGGGTTGTCTTTCAACATAGACAAGCCTAGCGCATAGCATATCTAATGGTGTGTTCCATTTGAACTGGGAAGTCGGAATCTCCGAGTTCTCAGACGGAAAATTCAACTAGGAAAACTAGGAACCCACGTTCTGTCTGTGGACATGTCTGTATGAGCAAAATACAGCTAACCTGGCTAGTGCTTGGTTTTCCGACTACTGTAACACTTTTAACTCGGGTGTGATGTCATTCTCAGATCCAACTTTGGACTTCTAAGGTAAAGGAACACACCACAAGTACAAGAAAGGAGAAAGCTGATCGAGGTTCTGACGTGGCTTGTTAAAAAAGGACAAAAAGTGGTGGGACTTAGCATGGTCCCAAACCTCTGAATTGATTCACACAGGTTTCCTTTCATCATCTTGCAGGGCCAGAGCCAGAAAGCGATTACCACAAAAATACTGAGTAACTGTCAAACGACAACTGAAGTTGTGTTTATTCTTACTCGTAGGATGCTGAGAGCTGCCAGGGGAGGGTGCGGGAGCTGGAGGTGGAACTACAGGAGCTGCAGCAGCTCCGCCGCGCTCGGACTTTCCTGCTGAACAGTGAGGACGATGGCGTGACTCTTACCCAGACTGTCCTCAATAGCACCCCGGAGACTGACACCTTCCTGGAGGTGGAGGTCGGGGACACAGGAGGAGGTGTGAGGGAAGAGACCGAAGGGGGAGGAGGCGTGGGAGGGGAGGCTCTCCCTGAGTCCAGCCCTGTGAGGAAAAGCTGCAGCGACACGGCACTCAATGCCATCGTGGCCCGCGACGCGTCCGGCAGAAGAAGAGGCAGCTATGCTCTCCACGCCAACAGCGTGAGGAAGCGAGGGATGTCCATCCTCAGGGAGGTGGATGAGCAGTACCACGCCTTACTGGAGAAATATGAGGAGTTGTTAGGGAAGTGTAGGCGCCACGAGGAGAGCCTGTGTCACGCCGGCGTCCAGACTTCCAGACCCGTCTCCCGAGACCCATCCATGAAAGATTGTGCTATGGGCCCCACTCCGGCGCCTCCCCCTACCCCCACGCAGTCGCCCTCCACCCCTGAGGCCATTGAGAGCATCAGCAAGCAGGTGGAGGCGGTGGATAAGAGGCTGGGGCAGAACACTCCAGAGTACAAGGCCCTTTTTAAGGAGATCTTCTCTCGTATCCAGAAGACCAAGATGGACATCAAAGCTACCAAAGCTGCTAAGGCTAGCAAGTCTGGCAAATCTGGCAAATCTAGTAAACAGTAATGGTACACTGACTGGCTCTAGAGAGGATGATGATTATGTGCTATTTCAGTGTTAAGTTTGTGGACAAGGCTTGGGGTAAACATACTTAAAGAGGGTGCTATTTCTAAAACCGCTAAAAGTACAGCTCAGTTCAATCGAGGTCAAATCAGAGCGTGCAGTTTTCATCCAGAACTGAAACCTTCCAGCATACATAAGGATCTGATTAGCATGTGATCTATTTTACAACAGTGCAGACTTCAGTCATATATATAAAATGTGGTCCGTTAAGGGTTCACCCCCCCTCATATTCTTTTATTCAGTATTCCTACAGTACTATATACTGGCTTCACTGCCTCACTACTTTAGGGCACACACCAAAATAACACAATAACAGCAATATGCCTCTCATGAGCCTCACAAGTGCACTAAATGTTAAAGCTTCACAAAAAAACACTAGAAAATTGCATCTGCGATGAAAACATGAGTGGAAATCTAAATCTAATATTAACATGAATTGTATATGTTAAGTTTATTGTAATGGACTCTACTAACATTTGTATAATTACAGTAAGAAGGACAAACATCGATCCTCTCAGGCCACACAGTCTGTCTGTCTCAAGAATGATCTTGAGGTGCTAATAATTCTCCTTCCGTTACGTATATCGCTATACAAATTAACACTGTTCAAAATTTAAACTTAAATAAGCCTTTAGTCTGGATGACCTTGCTACTCTTGCACCGTTCTTTGTGTGACCTTACTGCTTTATTAAAGTTTGTGGTGCCTCGCCCTTTATCTAGAGATTTTCATGGAACAGCCTTTTTCCTAACAGTTCGATATAAAAAACAGTTCAATAGAAAACTTGAATGTCTGTATGGTGAATATGAGGCTACAGACAGCAGCCAGTTAGCCTAGCTTAGCATAAAGACTGGAAACTGGGAAACAGCTAGCCCGGCTGGTTCGGGTACAAGTTGTGGTTTAACTGGGGTATGTGCAAGACTATTTCTTGGCAGGATTGTTGTTTTTTACATTTCAGTTTTTGAAATGATTAACTGAACAAGATATAACATGTTAATTAGTGAACTTTAGAGGATGATTTTGTTAGCTTTGGACTGAGCCAAGCTAGCTGTCCCCCCCCCATTTTCAGTCTTTAACTAAGCATTGCTAACTGGCTGCTGGTTGTTCTTTATTATTTAGCATACAGGCATGCGTGTTGTGTTGATATTCTCATCTATCTGTCGCCAAAAAAGCAAATGGGCCTATTTCCCAAAGTGTTTGACTATGGTAACTAATGTTGAACACTTGTGTTTACATGCTCCTTTCATTCAGAGTGCTCAGATGCCTTTGTTCAAGTGAAAAAGGGATGCTAACTGTAAAACTTCAGGGAAGGAACCCAGACTGGAAACTTAATTTACTTTTATAAAACGAATACCTTCTCCCTCCACTGTGCTTAAGTCACTTCAGCTCTATTATAGGTACTGAAGTGGGTTTTCAACTGGACTACATCAGCCCATTGGGGCAAAAATAAAATGGCTCAATGAGATATAGGAAGTTTATTCATACTAGTTAGTGATACAGTAAAGGCTATAGTTTAGGTAGTTAAAGCTGTTGTGTTTTGAGTATGTTGGAGTGATGATCCCACTAAATGCTAAAGAGCTGCTGTCTTGCAAAAGACAATCTGCAGATTGTTATTTTCACTATTTTCTGGGCATTATGGACACTTACCATATAGAATATAAACATCTTGAAGGCATATACAGTACAAGAATTTTTGTTTGTTGGGGAAACATTTAGGGCTGCACGATAGGGTAAAAACTTCATATTGCGATTACTTGACAGATATTGTGATTGCGTTATTAGATTAGGTTATACTTTATTCATCCCACAACAGGGAAATTCACTTGTCACAGCAGCAAGTAAGTAATTAGAGTGAAAAAAATAAATACAGATAAAAGACAGATATAAAAGCTTTGGTGAGTAGTGGTTCTAATTTGAACATGATAAGGTGGTGCAGGTGTTGTAGAGTCTGACAGCGACAGGGCTGAAAGACCTGCGGAACCTCTCCTTCTTACACCGAGGGTGTAACGGTCTGGTTTAGTGTGGGAATGATCATGTTTGCATCACAAATTGAATTTCCATTAAAAAAACATACAAAAGCGTGAAATTGGTTGGGGTCTGTAACAAACCTTCCTTAATATTTCGATTAATGCAGCCCTAGAAACATTTTCCTTCAATGTCTGTCTACATCTAACAGACCAGGCAGTGACAAATAGCAAAAACACATGAAAGAGTCGTAACTCTTGATTGGAATTGGGATTCGAAAAAAAATGGCCATCGAATGAAGACAGCATGAACATCTGAAATGTGGATCCTTTTTAAAGAAAATGGTCTACTGGTGAAAACTGATATCACAAAAGGTGAATTTTTCTTAGCAGCTGTTTTTATACAAGTGTTAGGACTATTTTCCTCTAATTATAGCTAGACAGACACTCTGTATAGTAGAACTGTAACCAGTATAAGGCTTGAAACCAGGGCTTTGTCTAACACCTAGCAGTCTTACCAAACTATAAACTAACCTGCAAACATATTGCACCTTTTTTCACAATATACAATACCTATGCCTTTTTTCTGGGTAACCTCCTACGTGTAAACCTTTGTTATAATGAATGTTATTACAGCTAATTTTATATCTGATTCTTCAGCAAAGCTGAAGACATAGCCAAGCTTAAACCTTTCACATGCGACACAGCTGACACCTGAGGGACCAGACACTCGTGTTTGAGGCTAATATATGTAAAAAGATTGAAGGGTGGATGTTTGGCTGCAACCTGTTTGGCTGAAATCAGAGAGGAATCCTGTTGCCTCCTGACGAAGTAAAGGTTGATTTACTGTTGCAGCAATTCATTTCTATTGGACAAATGTGGTGTACGAAGTGCATTTGAGGTTGACGCATGTGTTTTAGAATGATTTAAGCGTGTGCAGGGAGGAATATGTGTTAGCATAGACAAAACAATGCCAAACCAGAGCCTGTTATCATTTTAAAGGCTCATGAGGTTCCTGTACTGTGATGTCGTACCTATTGCACTTGAAAATGTTTGACGCCTCATCTTTTGCATATTTAGGATAGCTAATATGAACTATTGTATGTATCTGTGTATTTATTTGTGTGTGAATGTTTAATTTCTTTTTTTACTTTTTGTCAGTGCCTGTATGTGAATGTCACTAACAAATTGTCAGATTAAATCTACTTAATTTGCTTTACTTATATTATCCAGTTGAAATGTGTGCATTATTAGTTAATAAGATACTGGCATTAAAAGTTTAGTCTGCTCTGGTATTAGTTCATATCAGTACTGAACTAAGACCTACTTTACCCTGTTAATAAAGCATTGATACAATGCATCCTGTGTTCCTTTTGTTGTATTTACCATATTTATAACAACAGAGTGGAGAAATGTAAGACATGCTAGGACAGTGTGCAGGTCAGCAAACATTCCTGTTAATACACCATCTTGTGTTTATTTGACTTTGTAGGACAAATAATATTCTGTACCAATGACTGACAGTATCTCAATAGTGCAAGAAAGTGAACAATGCAGGAACGATAGCAAAACTGTTCTGAAGAATACTCTGATGCACCAACAATGGGTAGTATTGTCAAGGTGTACAGGTTTGTAAGAGAACTTGTTTGTACAAAAAGCACAAACCACAAGTAGCACTGCCACTGTACAGGTTTGTGAGAGGAACTATATACAGGTACGTACAACAGTGAGGGTGGGGGAGGATGATGTCCACTGGAAGTGAGTGTCCGACCTCTGGGGGCTTGTTAGTGGCACATGCTCTCCTCCACACAGTGCGCAATTGCGTGCGGAGCACTTACAGTTCTTCCATAGGCGTGCTCCTTTCTCATCGCCTTTGGGGGTCGCCCGCTGCTCAGGACCCTTATTCCACCCAAAGACGTTTTCCTCCTTGACAAAGCTGTCGGATGCCTTCCAATTTGTGCGCAGGTTTGCAGGTAGCCCCTCGGTCTTTTGCAGCCTCTGGCCTTTGTTGGAAGAGACTTTCCAAATGAGGAAAGAGCTGACACCATGGCACTGTCTGTTTTAATGTTTTCGTACGTCTTCACAAATGAAGTGATGGAATGAGTGAAGTGAGGGTTGTCCAGTTTCTTGGTGATGTCCAGGAACATTCTGTTCAGCCTTTCCTTGATGGGCCGTTCACCTGGGGACATTCATGGAGAGTTGTATTAATAAATGTACCCTACCTGTCGAACTAAACAATGTTTTACACATCTGGCTTAAACCTGGAGACTGCTGCTCTCTAATAGAGCTCTGTCCTCCCAAATATCAGACCCTCAATCTGGGTTAGAAACTCAGGCTCTGTTCTCAATTGGTTGAGATTATCTAGAAAACTCTGTCTTCAACTGTCCCTTTAATATGTGGTGTTCCACAGGGTTCAATCCTTGGTCCTATCCTCTTCTCACCCTACATGTTATCTCTCGGAAACCTGTTTAACCAGTTCCAATGCATCTCCGCCTACTGCTATGCTGACATGCAGCTGTATTTTTCCGTCAAGCCAAACCATACAGGTAATATTGGTGACTGCCTGGCTGCTATGGATGTCACCAAATTCAGCTAAATCCAGACAAATCCAAAGTTCTCCTTATCAATGCTATCAGCCAGAGATCTACAGAGCAAAAGTAAAACATGTAGGAGGGGCAGTGTTTCCTCTATGTTGTTTTTGGAGCGGCGGCCCGCCGCTGTTAAATTTCTGCCGCCACGGTATCAGAAATGGGGCAGACGCACAATGTAGTCACGGTTGCCTTTTAAATGATCCTGCCGACATAATGCACCCCCGTTGGCTGCCGCTCACATTGCAATTTAACAACAAGTAGAACTATTCAGAGGTTATTCGGGCTGTCCAGTTTAACTCCACATACTGTTGTGTTGATGTAGTTTATTGTCAAAACGTTCGCTTTCTTCCAAGTCGACTATTAAACTAACAGCTCCACCAAAAACGTCACCGCGGTGGGTCCGTTTTAATTGGACAATGTTCAACTTGTCAGTTCTCAGGTCAACGTCCTGATATCAAACATCTGGAAACATTAAAACGGTAAATATATTTGTTTGTGTCGCAGCGAAGTGCCACTTCTGTTTCATACGTAAAACATTTGCCGGCGGGACTGGGCGTGACTGGACTGGGTGGGACGGGACGGGACTGGGTGGGACGGGGCGGGGCGGTGGGGTGTTCAGACAGGCCTGCCCCCACTGCTAAAAAAATCCTAGAGGAAACACTGAGGGGAGTGACTGTGTAAATACATAAATAATACATAAATAACACATAACTAAACATAACTCAAGTGCTGTCTTCTTTGAGGCAGCTGTTTGTTTGTATGGAAGTTTTTAAAAAAATGAAGAAAATAATCAAACGTAATGAAGCATGGTCGAGTTATGTCAATTTCTTAATTGAATTTACAGAACAATCACTATATCATGAGGAATAACGTAAAGAAACTTACCAGTGGCAATGTGATTGTAAAGCTTCTGTGTGTCCGGTAACAAGCCATGACGGAAGGCGTCATTATGTCCAAACACCCTGGCTACCACACTTTGGTGCTTACAGTGCCCACCCTTAAACCCTACTGGGCATGTGCAGCAGCCTATTGCCATGTCGACATGGTAGGACACTGCAGCATTCGATGAGCTTGTCACAGTGTAGTTGTCTTGGTCTTCCTGTAGCATTGGCATTACAGAAGAGAGGAAGAGACCATTTTAGAATGTGTGGAACTACATTTTGAAATATTCATATACATTTTAAATAGAACAGTTAAGGAACGTACAACATACACATACAACTGGGCTATTCATATATATCCAAACTTCACCCAATTCCACTGTGCCATTCTTTAATGTGTCAGTAAGGGTATCTACATCAGGAATGTCAACCTCAGTCTACTTAAGGGCCTGTATGAATGCAGGTTTCAGAGCACACCAGATTCCACTCAATGAATCAACTCATCTGTGATTCACACAGTTGACTCTTGATTTACTACTATTTACTATATTACTATTTTTATTGACAGTGTTATAATAAGTAGCGTACCTGCACAATGGAGTATCTCCCGATGTCCTCTGTTTCCAACACCTTCTTAAGAGAAGTTTGTAACCGATTGTTGGAGAAATCTGTGAGGCGGCGGATGTAGTGTGCCTCCATCCTTGTGAACACAAAGTCCACCAACTGTCTCACATTGTAGGCTTTCAGTTGGTGGAGGACCTTCTCTTTCACCACCCTCATGGCACTTTCCACATAGTTGTTGGTATGGTTCCCTCTGGTGGGCAGTTGCGCATGCAGGCAGATGGCCCACTCCTCTCGCCGCTGGAAGACCTCCTGCAGGTGCTGCACAAACTTTGGGTGCTGTGAGGCGACGTGGTCCTCCCTCAGCCTTGTGTAGCCTTCCATGAGAGCTGCTGGTGTGGAGGCATACACCAGACTTCTGAAGGACCTCAGGAGGTGGGCCCTGTGCTGCTTGATAACTTCATTTGAACTGCTCCACAGCCATCTCCACATGGCCTGAAGAACCACACGGAACACACAGAGGACCAATGTGGCTTCTGGGTATGCCTCATGCAGTGCCTGTCTGAGTGCGGACCAATCGTCAGTCATGATAACAAGAGGTCCTTCTGGGTGGCCAAAGAACCTCTCAGGTGGAAGGACAGTCTGCAGCAGCTCTATGGCAGCTGAGAGAGTTGGCTGGCTTTCGGACGTGGTGATAAATACACCCAAAGGCAAACCACCGGCCGAGGAGTGGGTGAGGAGCAGGAAAAGGCGGTGATTGTTGCGTTCACAGTTCCCAGAGGAGTCCACAAACACCATCTCGCTGCTCTCTCTCAGCCTGGCGTGGACCCTCTTCATCATTGGAGTGCAGATGGCAATGACCAACTGATTGTCAGAGGTTTTGCACATCGTGGCGCAGACATCCCCTTGCTCCTTGTTGTAATCATCAAGGGTTTGTTCAAGATCTTTGAACAGTTCCTCCCCTGCTGCTGCGCTGTGTGCTTTTTTGAACTGTTTGTAGTACAACCTGCAACAAAGAATAAGAAGGTTTCAGGATTTTTTAGGATATTATAGTATTAAATTAAATCTTTATTTTTTTTTTATATCTTACTGGTTTTAAGACAATGCTAGAATTAGTCACTAACCTGTAACAAAACTGCAAATCTGGACAGACGGAACGATCTGCAGCGGCGTACACATAGTTGTCCTGTTCCTCCTCTTGTAAATCGTACTTTAGCACGTCGAGTGCCGAGGAAGGAGAGTGGCCACTTTCAAACAGCTTTTTCAGCTTTTCAATGGTCTCTCCCGATACATCACTCCTCGTCACGGCTTCATAAGCACCGTGGTTGTGCTCATTGCGTAAGTTAATGTGAAGGAAGAGTCCCTCCTTCATGTGAGGATCTCCTGATCTGAAGTGAATAACAGCAAATTAAGCTAACAATAACAATCAAGATAATAAGAGAAATGCTACTAAGACATTTGGTAAACCATATTATAGTTTGATACATCAGTGACACAGTGAGTTAAAAATCCCATTTGCTTTTATGATAAAGATCTTAAGTTATCTGTGAGGCAGTTGTTGGGTTGTTTCTGCCTGGCATGTGAATGTGAAATGGATTAGAAGTTTGAGATTTAACATGATGGTTGAGCTCTTTGTGTAAGTTTACATGAATGATGAATCTGCTTTCATGTGAGGATCGAGCTCATTGGAGATGGTGTGGCCTTTCCGTTAATCATACCCCATTATTATATGCTTTCTTTTTGACACAACATAGCAGAATTAGCTCTTTGTTCAATGAATACAAGTTGAAGAATTATATGAGATAGAGAGCTTGTAATTGTGTTACCAACTATTTCTTAGAATGTCTGCCTGGACGCCAATACATCTGACCACAACTGTTGTTTTCACGTGGAGTCTCAGTTGTATTGTTTCCGTTTCTACGAACTGACCTCGACTTCCGCTCTCCACATTCTGGATGCCTTTTCAAGATCAGGTACAGAGTAGCAGGGCAAGAAGTGTTCATCGTCCTCCTCGAGCACCCAAAGGTGTTACGTTGGCACCGGTAGTCCACCTGTGAAATGTAATAGCTAAGAGTCAGACAGACATACTGAAGGAAGGCAAAAACAATCTCTTTATGCCTTTAAAAGTTCATTCTTTACACAAATAAATAACTGCTTTACTCCTGACATCCTCACTGGAGGTTAAAGTGAAAGTTACATGGTGTAATTACAAGAGTAGGTGGGTGGTGGAGTGGGTGATACTTACTCTATACTTGTTGTAGCGCCCACCGTTGGGGTAGGTTTTGGACACTCTCCATGTGAAGCCAGAGGAGCTCTGGAAGTCTTCAAGCCACCTCTTTGCCTCTTCCTCACTGGACAGCTTCAGCTTTATGGCTGCCCTGAAACTGATGTCCCCTGTCGTCTCATAGCTGCACACAGTGTGGCTGTACTGCTCTGGCAATAGTTTCTGTCAAAATAGGACCCCATCTTCAAAGAGGGAGCTACCAGAGCACTGGAACCACTGGAACCACTGGAACCAATGCAACACTGTCTGAGCTAGCTGTCTCATTTACTACACTTCCCAAACTTTAGCAATAGATAGACTGATAGACAGACAGACAGACAGACAGACAGATAGATAGATAGATAGATAGATAGATAGATAGATAGATAGATAGATAGACAGACAGACAGACAGACAGATAGATAGATAGATAGATAGATAGATAGATAGATAGATAGATAGATAGATAGATAGATAGATAGACAGAATTCACAAATAGCACAAGCTGGCTAGCTAACTAGCAGAGACACAATCAATCCTGATTTCTGACCTCCAGAATCATCAGCGAAGTCTGCTCCCGGTCTGTCACTTTACTACAGGTCTTGCACCACATGTCGCACACAATATAAATTAACACTTTAGCTTATATACTTAATAAATAAACAACTTTTCGCTGCGTCTTAACTATGAAAGAAAGGCACGCTGAGCCAATAATAATTCTTCTTCTTCTTCTTCTTCGTCTTTTTTTGGCGGATTTAGTTGCATACCGCCACCTGGCGCACTGGTGGATCTAATTTCTGTTTGTCAGATGAACATGATCTTTTCCTAAACACAGAGCAGGCTCTACAGTGCTTCTTCCCTCCATACATCCACGTTGATTATATTTTAATTCATTTGGTTTATAAGTGATAAACTGACCTTTCATTCATTATTTTTCCACAGTTCTGCCTATAACTCTCTGCAAAGCTTGGACCTTTACCTGGTTCACAGATAGAAACAGTTATTATTATTATAATTATTATTTTTAATAAGACATTAATTCATTTGGTCATTGAAAACATCAATTGTATTTCCGAATTCATTTTCATGTAGTGCTTCTGTTTCTTGCTGTTGTTCCTTCTCTGCCTCTTTACACCCATTACTCATAATACTGTATGTACTTGCCTTTGCCTTATCTTTCACTCTCGGATATCCTTATTATTTCCTATTACCAGACATTTTCTCTAACTGCTTATTCCTACCTAATGAATTATATACATTTTTTTCAAAAAACTCTCTTTTAGTCATTTTATTGTATTTCTCACTACTGTTTGCTTTCTCTTAAATTAATACAATTAAAAACACTTTAAAGGCTTTATTTCTTAACTTTTTCATCAAAAATCATCAATCAACAATCAAGCTTTATGATGTGGTCGTTAAAGGGTTTGAGTATTCCCGACTTCACCATCCTAGGACAAAAATCTGTTTGTCCAACTGATCGATGTGTAAAGAGGAGGTCCAACAAACTTGTTTGTTCCACCTGTGTTTCAGAGAAAAGACTTTAAAAATGAACATCGCTCCTCTGGCTGCTTCCCTTAACTCTGCAAAGGTAACGTAACGTTTACAGTCGGATGTTGTTTGCTACGTGTCGTTCTTACGACTTTTATAGAGAGTTCCAAGTTAATAATACATTATTATAATCATAGGTGGTCTATCGCTATCCTTAAAATTAGATTTTCAGTTCACTGCCTTTGCAATACATGGGTTCCTACTCCTCCTCATATACATATTGTCAGTATATGTAGTGTGCACAACATTTGTTCCGTCAATCTGACCGCGTGGCCTAATGGATAAGGCGTCTGACTTCGGATCAGAAGATTGAGGGTTCGAGTCCCTTCGTGGTCGTGTTTTGCCCTCGCTTTGAAATGCAGGTAGTACATTGTTTTTGGAAATATATGGGTTGTATCCGGTAAATGAAGTCAAACCAAGGGTTGTAGCTAGTGCATACTGGCATTAGCCTATCAAAGTCAGTACCCATTAATCAAAGATAACATGCATCGAGATAAATCTTGTTAGCTAACGTTATGCCAAAGCTAACCTGAGAAAGTGCACTAAACTTATGTAACCAACATGTAACGTTATTACGCATAATCAACAACCATTTACACACTTACACACAGAATACATACATAACACGTACTATGACTGATGACATTAAAGGTGTACCTCAGCATCAACGATTTCAGAACAGCAGAGTGGCGCAGCGGAAGCGTGCTGGGCCCATAACCCAGAGGTCGATGGATCGAAACCATCCTCTGCTATGTTTTTAACTTTGTTCATAGAATAAGCAGCGCCCCTGATTCCGTGACTTACTCAACTCTACCCTTCATTTCTGTAATGTACATTGTTACACTGCTTTATAATGTGACCTTAATAGAAACATTGTCACTGTAAATGGCCAAAAACAGGAACAAAGACGCACAAAGATATACCCACTATATATATATTAATACAATTAAGTGAAAAAAATGTGTTGTCATCTTTGAGCAACTGCCCTTTACCTATTATCATTTTAATAGTATTAACTACTATTAATTATTTTTGTATTTTTCCATTGTTGAAATTCTGTTTCTTTTTTAAAACATAAATACCATCATTCTAATACATTATATATAATACACTGTCATATCCACCTACCTCATGTACATAAAGAAACCTGCACATAAAATATTTCAGCATCCTTTGCACACTGCACCATTGCACTATTGTCTACTGTCTAATAGTAATAATAATGATAATAATAATAATAATACATTTTATTTATAGAGTGCTTTTCTAGGAACTCAAAGAAACTTCACACAAGTTAAAAAAATAGGTAATAGAAAGAAACATACTAAAAATGTTCAGTTTTATCATGTATAACTGTACATATTACTGTATATCTATTTTGTTGAGCTTGTGTATTTCTATAGTGTATTTATGCTTAGTCTGTGTTTGTACAACGAAAGCAAGATAAAACTGGAGTCAGATTCCTTGTATGTGTGCACATACCTGGCCAATATATCTGATTCTGATTCTGATTAAAGAAACCTTTATAGGTGTAAAAAAAGGTGTATACATAAATATATATATATATATATAAAAAGCAACAGTGACCAACACCATACTAGGGTTATATAAAAGTCAAGTGTTTCTGTAAATTGGAAACAAATACTAATAGTTCAAAAGAGTACGTATTGAATGGATAGACATAAAGTAGGTGATTATGTACAGCAGTGGTTCCCAACCTTTTTTCTTAAGGAACCCCTTTTTTATAGTTTAGTAAACTGACGACCCCTGCTTAATTTATGGATATTTCATATTATATTAACTGTTCTAAAATCTAAATTTTGAGCACATTATCTTCCTGTTTAGGGAACTATCATTTTTAACAATCACAGATACTTACTAGGCTTCTTTTTTGACAAATTCTGTGTTTTCTTGTCCCTGACGCTCAGCCATGTTTCTATTATTGACAGTTTACTTAAAAATTGACTTTACCTTTTTTTTCTTCACAGAAGTGAGCCAAATGCTGAGATATAGACCTACTGTGTATATTTTTTCCATTTTCTAGCACAACTTAAAATCAATAAGGCCTCGCGACCCCCTGTGAAACTTCAGTTTGGGAACCACTGATGTACAGTATATACAGCAGGCAGGATTTATATTGGGCAATGGTGATATCTGACAGATGATGTAGATACCATTGTGGGTTTTTAGAATGTTAATCATTTAAGGCTTGTATGTATCTTTTTTCCTAATATCTGAATAGGTGATAAATATGCTTGCAGTGGCAGTACGGCAGAAAGGCCTATGCAGGGCACAGCAGTCAACAATAGATGTAGCTTACTTGAAAACACCGTACACTGGTCTGCATATTTCTGGTATTCAGCAAGAAACATGTTGCAACTTAGTTTTTATTTACAGAAAAGTAAAGACAAAATAATAAACCCTGGACTAAATGATATGTAGTTATTGACAACACAATGGTGGGAGGTAAAAACAACAGTCAGTCAAAATCCCCTCGTCTGCTCTTCTTGATAGCTGAATGGATCTTCTTCTGGTTGAGTCGCTCCTTGTTCCTCTTCTCTAACCTGCACAACATATTTCACATCAAAGACACAAATGAGACACTATTTGTAATGAAGGTGGATGCAGATACACATGATGTGCTCTGCTGCTGGGTGGGTGGTACCTTTGTGCCCGGAGAGCTATGTCCTCTGCTGTAGGTTCATGTGGCTTCTCGCTGGCCTCCGCTATGATGGCAGAAATCTTCTGGATACAATCAGAAAGGTTTCTCTGCTGACTCCTGCTCAGCTCTGAGGTCACCAGCAGCTCGCCGGCCTTATTGATGCGTTTTTTGTTCTGTGCCACGAAGCAGAAAATTGGTACAGTTGGTCTTACAGTTTCAGAATGACAGGGATAAAAAAAAAAATCAGCAAATCCGGAGGTCACTCAAATACTTATTGCACTGCTTTACTGTTGACGATCCCTTGGGAGAAAATAGTAAAAGATGGAAGCTTAATATCTATAAGTTTTCATCCTGATTCCACAGCATTGGAAAAACAAACCTTTTCGAAAATCTTCCGTCGAACATCTTCTGGGATCCAGTCTGCTGTATGCACATGGAACCGGACCTCTGTTTTTGTGTTGACTGGGGATTGAGAGGGTCATTACTCAAAGGAATATATAGAACAGCTTCAAGATTAAAGGCCTTGTGCAAGCTGTGTTACTTCTCACTTTGGCGCATGTGCTCTTTTCTACCAAGGATTGCTCACCTTTATTGACGTGCTGACCACCAGGACCACCACTTCGGCTGTAAGATACTGTCAGACGCTCTAAGAGCCAGGAGGAGAGCACAAACATAGTTGAAAAACACATAAAGACTGACTTTATTATTCTGCTTTAGTAGATATATATATATATATGTGTATGTTTACCTACTGGGATGTGCACTTGAGCTTCCTGAAAAAACAAAAACAAAAAAATCTCTTGCTTCACCTAGAAGTCCATTGCACTTTTAAAGACATCATCAGACTATGATACAGGACATTCACAGTGTTTTATGAATTTCAGTGTATTGATTTGTTCTCATCTCTTCACAGCAATGACCTCTGGAGTCCAGAGAGGGGAAACAGCTTAGTACTGCTGCTTGCATCTGAAGTCAGCACATCCGCAGGTATCGTTTTCACCCTGCATTATCTGTCTCCTGTGTCCCTCTGTCCTAACCCGGGACATTTTGGCCCTCGAGTTTATGTGGCTGTGGTGTGAAATGTGGCACTGGCAATACACTGGCTGCTTATTTGGTTTACCCATAATACTCTAGTGTGATGTACTGTACCTGAATGAGGACAGAGTTGAGACCGGGTTGACATACATAGACATTTGTTGGTGTTATTTAACTAACCTGTATGGTGTCCGGTCCTCGTGTCCCGTAACCAACACTTGGCTGTAAAGTGTTATTAATGTCTCTTATTAAAACGCTCCTTGTTTTTACATACTGCGGTATCACGTTTACTCCTGCGCTGCGACAAAGTAAATAAGAATATCGTGCTATGTGTGCCGCCATGTTGGACTGACGTCGCTAACGTCCCACGTGATGTAGCTGCTGTCTCCAAGCGACGCTTGATATCTTTGAGTGGCCGCTGGCATCATAGACGTATATACATATGTAATGTGTCTATGGCTGGCATGGTCATATCGTTGCATGCCACTAATACACACGGTACTTTACATTAGCTTTGTCTTTGAAGTTCAGAACAAAATAAATTCAGGTTCCACCGAGATTTGAACTCGGATCGCTGGATTCAGAGTCCAGAGTGCTAACCATTACACCATGGAACCATATGTCCCCTTATCTGAAAGCTATGTATATGATCATGGGTATAGGTATATGAACCTGTAATGTCTTACAAGTTAGTATTGTAATTACTCTTGATAGCAAACGTTACCCCTTACCCAGTGTTAATTTCCTAACAGAGATGTTTTTCTCTGTCTCCTACCCAGGGAATAGTTAAAGATATAAATGAGCTCATAGCTAACTGTGCTGCAGTAGCTGTGCACTGTCCCTGTCAAATAATCACACAAATAGCTAACATGCAACTACTGTAACCAGTTCAAGAACTATTACGAATATTGCAATATTTCCAGTTCTCAATGAATTTAGTTAGGAAAATTATTTAAATAAGACCTATCCAATATTATATATTATATATACAGCTAAATCCTTCCTTAGTCTTACATAGTGATTTTAAAGGAAAGGGGAGTTACTGCAGTAAAAAAAAACACAAATGTACTATACCTGATATTTGTAATAAAATGAGGAGTAAAATATGGGAACTCTTATGATAAAGTTCAGGGTTAAAGTTAGATCAGAAATATCCCATGTATTTGAGATCATCAATTGAATCCCATAAGGTAGTCAGGTGCTATTGAATTTAATGATAAATCACGCTTTATGCTGATGATGGGGCCATATGGACTAGGGGAAGAAAACCAGAATAAGTCCTTGACAAAATGAAGGAAGCAATGGTAGCACAGTGGTCATATAACTGGGGATTCAACCTCTCACCAAGCAAATCCTGTTACATGTATCTTACAAGAAAGAGAGGGATGCAAAATCAGTCTTAAAGTTTTACAAGCAACCAATGGAGAAGGTCAGTATATTTAAATATCTGGGAATCTGGCTTAATGAAAGAACACATGTTGAAAAAGTGGAGACTAAATGCAAGAAATGGTTAATCTAATGCAAGCCATAGCTGGACAGGAACGTGGAGTGGATAACCAAACACTAATGTATATATACAGGGTCCCAATGAGATAATCAATACCTCAATAAAACAGAGTACAAAATAAAGCTCTCAGAATATGCCCTCCCCCATCGACTCAATGCAGGTAGAGTCAGGAGAGAGTCCTATAGAGCTTAGAAGGGATAACTTAATGATGGCATATTGGATTCATTTACAGGGAATCCAGCTAAAACGGCGCTACGAGAAGGGGAGTATAGTAAATGTATGGGTAATGGTGGAGAACTAAAATTAAAGCAGAAGAATATGGACTGAAAGCATTTAAGCTTCCCAACCCCTGTAAATGCTATTCCCAAACATTAAAGTAGATCATTTATCCGTTTAGCTCAAATGCTGGCAGTAATTACTGGACTACAGTGGTTATGCCAGACAGAGTGGTATTCTGTGTAGATTATGTTGCAGTGCTATTCAGTATAAAGTCCATAAAATAAATAAGAGGAAACTTAATATTAGAAATATATTCAAGATTCAAGTTTCAAGAGGTTTATTGTCATATGTACGGTAAGAAACACAGAGGTTTCTGTATCAGAGCCTGTTTAGATTTCACAGAGTAGTAAGCTTCTGTTTGCCCATGTTGGCATTAAAGGGAATGAAGGAGCAGATAAAATTACTATAGATATAATAATACATGTTTCATTTTTTACAAAAAAAATCTAATTTCTATCTTACATTTGCATGTTTGATAACAATTTAAAACCCATGTCTGCTCACTCCGGTACAGTAGGTGGCGGTATGCACCTTCAAGGTACATGATGGCAAACCGCCGTAAAATGAAAAGAAGAAGAAGAAGACGACGACGGGAACTGTTGTACGTCGGTCTGTGTTGCAGTCGGGTAACATCAACGGACGGACACTGCTTGTTTTTCAGCATATCAAAACAAACATCTTTACCGTTATTTTGTTTTTGACATTAACAGGTCATGTTCGTTATAAAGCGAGACGTTGACATATTAGCAATAGTAGTGTTTGTCATACTGTTGGATTAGTCAGCACTTTTTCCGGAACAGCTAACGTTAATATCTTTTAGCTACCGTTAGCTTGATAGCTAATGTTGGAAGCTAACGCCAGTCCCGCAATGGTACAGGTTCTGCTAGCTGTCGTTAGCATTGCCTAATGTCAGTGAAGGTAGGCGTAGGCGGGTCTCGAACCGCAATATATGGCATCAAACATTATCCTAGGGCTTTTTTATTGAACGTCAAACTAAGTTACGTTAGCGGGCACACTCACACACACACACACACACACACACACACACACACCTATGTGCTTGAATACTCATATGCTTAACGTTATCGTGTAGCTAACGTTAGCTTTAACACGGGCAGAAATCTTTTGGGCTAATAAGCAACGCAGGGAAGTAGCTAGCATGTGACACCGATGGGTAAAGCTCGTTGCCACCCACAGTAGCAGTGAAGTCATGCATGACTGGACGTGTCCATTGTTCAAGAGAATCCGAGCCACTGTATAGTGGGTTAATCACCATCTGTGGGGTATTTGGGCTTGTTTACCTGCAAGAAAATGCCTGGAATCGTGGTGTTTGGTCGGCGGTGGGGGATCGCCAGTGACGACTTTGTTTTCCCCGGGTCTTTTGAACTGTTCGTCCGGGTGCTCTGGTATGTAGTTTACCTTCATTAATGGTCAGGATTCACTACTTTTACCACCTGACGTCCAGCCAGTTAGGCATAATACCATTCACTGACTCTGCTCTCTGTCATTCTCTCCTCAGGTGGATTGGCACCATGATTCTGTTCATGTACCACAAGGGTCAGTTTGATTGTAACGGGAGAGGAGTTCTTCACAGCTATCTGGTTGGACTGCTGGTTGTGCTAGCTCTCATAATCCTCTCACTATGTGCTATTGTCTACGTCAGTGCCCAAGGTAAATCAGCTGTGTTTTATCAGGTCTCTTACATTAGAGTTATGTGAGCCTCATATATAAAGATAACTAGGACATGGACAGCTTTTTGTATGGGAAGTCACAGGGTAACAATGCTTTCACATAATAGTTCTATCGCAGCAGCAATAGTTTCAAAATTGAGGTTATTCTGCAATATGCAATGCAGGAAGGAATGCAACACAGTTGCTGCGCTACAGAACACAACTGTAGGAAACTGGTGTGTAGCAACGTATAACGGATTTCAGAGTATCCACCTACTTCAGGGGCAAAGGTACATTTACAGGTACATCTATTGTTAATTACACTGGTATCTGTGGTTGCTTCTCAGGTACCATTACAAACCCCGGCCCACGGCGCTCTATCCCTGCACTGGTGTACCTGCGAGCTCTCCTCTACATCCCTGAGCTGGTGTGGGCCTGTCTGGGCGCATTCTGGGTGTCTGATGACAGCAAAGGCTGCGATCCTGCCACCGTGGGCGCTGTCATCACAGCAGTGATTGCCAGGTAGTTGTTCAGGGCTGTGAGTCCACAGTGTCATCCTTTTTTTTAAATTTGGTCGAAGAAGCGTTCTGATCCAGCATCTTTTCTCTCTGTGTCACAACAGCTGGATCATCCTGCTGTTCACAGCGTTGGGCGTTGTATTTGTGTTTGACCCACTGGGTAACCCCCGTCCTCAGCCTGCTGCCATGGAGCCGCTGGGAGTACGAGACATGGAGAGCAACGAGGGCAACCAGTTCCTCTCCACGGCTCGCTCCCTGGCTGTCAAGGTGTGGGAGAGCAGGCTGCGGCTCCTGTGCTGTTGTCTCCCACAGGACGAAAGCCACAGAGCAGCATTCTCTAGCATCGCACAGCTCGTCAGCGGGTTCTTCTCTGTAAGGGACACCTTCTCTCTCTCCTTCTGTCTTTACGTCTTAACTACATTAAGTAAGGTTTATAATAGAAAACATCACGAAAGACTAAAGTGAATTTGTCAAGCGGTGTGATGTCACAAAACCCATTGTGAGATGTGGTATTGTTTGTTGCAGGACACAGACCTGGTCCCCAGTGACATAGCAGCTGGTTTGGCTCTGCTGCACCAGGAGCAGGATAAGATGGAGCAAAGCAGAGACCCAGATGTCGTAGTTGATCACAGCCCTTCCTCTCCCATCGTAAGTACAGGAGTCTGTCAATCACGTAGGTACAGTGGACCTCAGAGCAGGCAAGAATGTTGGTAAACCAGCTATTAAAACTTCCCAAGTCATGCAAGTCTGTAAAATAGTCTTTTACGATTTGAAGGGAGAAGATTTGGAGACGGAGTTGGAGAAAGCAGCTCACTGTATGAAGTTTGCTGCAGCAGCTTATGGCTGGCCGCTGTACATTTACTCCAACCTGCTTACTGGACCCTGCAAGCTCAGTGGAGACTGGTAAGAAGCACTCTTGACCTATCCGTTGCACTTATCAGACAGGTCACAAGACTGGCCAGGTTAGGTCAACAGCTGCTGACTAAAGGTAGAAATAGGCTGCCCCAAAAAGCAGTGAATTGTTTATTTATTTATTTATTTTTACATGCTAAAGGTTCTGCAGATTCAGCTTATAGAGAGAAGTATTTCAGAGACATACAAAGCTAAGAGAAAAAATGTAAACTAGATTTGTAGATATTTTCACTCAGTTAAACCCTCTTGTGAATCTACAACCTTAATGATAAAATAATAGTGAGAGCCCAAAATCAGCAATTGCCTGAACCAGAAAACCATAAGCATTGGCAAAGCTGTCTCACGTTGCCTTTGTGTTCATCAAAACGCGTGTTTGTGTGTATCAGCTGTAGGAGTCGTGCGGCCGAGTATGACATCGTTGGAGGAGACCACCTCGGCTGTCATTTTTCCTCCATCCTGCACAGCACTGGTTTGCAGTACAGAGATTTCATCTACG